ATTTTACAAACAGATTCATTCATAGATCTTGACTTTTAACACTTATTTCGATACAAGCTATTCAATAATTGATAAACATCCATCAATATATTTTACAAACTTGCTTTGGAAGTTTCGTATGTCGTCATATGTCATGTATTTAACAGTTTACTTTTTCTGTTTAATTTTATTTTTTTTTTAGATCACACAAATAAAAATCATGAAATAAATTTAATCCAATGAAATGGTTGTTATTCCATAAAAGAATAAATTTCAATTGTTAAAAAAATCAACTAAGCTTTTTTTTTTCTTAAAAGAAAAAAAGATCCTTCGCAAAGAAGAACCCTCGTGTGAATCAAAAGCCATTTGCGAATTTCGATTATTAAAATCTTTTATCCTGATCATTTCCTCGTGTTTTTTTTTGTCTATTGCTATAGAAGAATAAGCTTCATGCAAACATCAAAAGTCATTTACAAATTTCGATTGTTTTAAAAAAAATCAACCAAGCTTTTTTTTTTCTTAATCAATCGACGTTATTTTATTTGTTTTTCCCAAAAGGAAATTTTTTCATTAATCAACGATTTTTTGTTTTCTCCAAAAGGAAATCAGATCATCCACTATCCTTCAAATGGTCAAAATCAAAGTTTTTTCTTATCCAGATCACCCACTATCTCAAATGGTCAAAATCCAAAAAAAAATTTTCAATTCAACATGAACAATCAAAACAAATTTGCACATATTGTTTTGTTTATCGATCATTTTTTTTTAAATTGACAAAACGAAATAAAACGTTTTTGAACCCTGGTCTCGTGACCAGAAAATATCACAAACACGTAGTGTGACGAGCCTTTGACGATCTGAGGTAAAGGTTCTAAGACAAAGGCCATCAGTTTTTGGTCATTTTGAACGGTCCAAACGTCTGAGCAAGACGAAGACCTAACGATGGACAGCGGTCAACACCACGCAAAAACATCTAAAGCGAAACACGATTTCCTTTCAGTCAAGTATCTGTTTCGCTCAAACCTGACGTTTTGAACCAAAACAGATAAGTTTTTCAATTCACAAATCATGATAAACAGATAGCAATTGGGTTTCGCACAATACGGTGACGTAAAAATAACCACAACCATTTATCATTTTTTTTTAATATTTCTGTTCAAATTTCAATTTCATTAATTAACAAATTTCAAATTAATTTGCAAATCATTTCAAGCCAGCGCAGCAAAAAAAAAAAACGACTCATAATGTTATACCCTTTGATTTTGATCTCTTCCTTCCCCAAAAATTCAGTTTAATAAAGTTGAGAAACAAGACGTTTAGAAGTTACAGTTACGTTTCGTTTCGTTTCGTTACGTTACGTTACGTTACGTTACGTTACGGTAACAGTAACTTCTTTTACAACGAAACATTTCCCGTGCAACCAACAACCAAACATTTCAAAATTGGGCAAAGTCGTTAGATTAGGGAAACATACAAAAAAAGGGGAAATATTACACAAAATATAAAAAATCTACACGAAAATTACGACATCGAGTAAGGCACCGTAACACGGAAACCTTTTCTTCTTTTATATATGTTAAAAATAAATTATTTTAGAAAATATTGGAAGAAAAATTAGAAAATATCAGAAGAAATTTTTTTTTTAAAAACAGTCGAAGCCTCCTTGGAATTTCAATTAGCACTATTGTTATGACTTTACATTTTGCAAATATCAAGAAAGAACTTCCAGTCTTCTTTTTTTAGATAAAATGAAATTTCTTTTAATTTCAGAGATTTCTACTATGCTAAATAATGTGTAGTGGTGAAGAAAAAAAACCAATCGATCTAAGATTTGAGAAAACCTCTTATCTCCTATTTACACAGAACCAATCATCTTAAAAAATCCTGAATCCAAAAAAAATTATCTTTGTTACAGTTATATGTGAAATTGAAATATTATGGAGTGGGGTGAAATTCTGATCGGCTAATTTGAATTTCACATATGTGAATTGCAAATTCACATAATTTCATTTCACGTACAACATTACCATCAACAATTGAAATTCGTGAATGGTTTTTGATCAAAGGTAAAAATTTGTCTAATCGCGAAAAATAAAAAAAAGGAATTAGCTGATTCGTTTTTTTTTAATAACAATAAACAATAAAGATTGATTGTTTATTTAATGATAACAAAAATAAAGGTTGATTGTTCAATGATAACGAAAATAAAGATCAATTGTTTTTTTTATTAAAAATAAAAAAAATAATGATTAATTGTTTTGTCACAAGAAATAAATAAATAAGTCTGCCATCTTAACCCTTTGTTTTCTTTTTATTTTTATTAAAAATAACAGATGTTGATGTGATAATGAACAAATTCGGGTTGCCTTTTCTGTTCATTCTGCCATTGTTGATGCTATCCTCTCCAAGCAGAAGATTAATTTTGAGCTAAACGGGAACCCTGCAAGCAGAACTCAATTCTCTATACAGAATGCTTTTGGTCTAACAGTCCACAAGACACAAGGGTCAACCTTGCCAAGTATATCTGTCTGCCTTGACCAACAGATATTTGCTCCTGGACAGGCTTATGTTGCTCTCAGCCGTTGTGCCAAATGGGAAGATCTCAGAATTAACTCTCTTTCCAAGGGAGGCATTCATGGTTGATCAATTGATGGTCAGGGAGTATGCTTGACTGAAAGAAATTGCTGCCAAATCATTGCCTATTAACAACAATTCATAATAATAAAATGAACATTTGTCTTTACCTTTTTTTTTTTATAAAATCATTATTATTATATACACATTCAAAAAAAAAATTTTTTTTTTTTTTTCTGACGTAGTAAATAAATAACTTAACATTAATAGGGTATATAATAATAATTGGGCGATGTTAGTCACCCATAGATGCAATTGCTAGTTATTATTATTATTTGATATTAATAAAACAACAAATAAACAAAAGATAATAAATAAATAGTTTTTATTGCTTTCCCTAAATGAAATAATTAATTTTATTTCAAATATTGTGTTTTCCTACCCATAATCTTTAAGTTGTGTTTGACTATCAAAAGTTGAAATTTTTAATTTTTTTAATGCTGTGATTTTTTATTTATAATAATCGTCAAATTAGATTTATGTGATAATTTGGAATAAGATCGACAAAAATTTGGCCAATAAAATAGTTGTTTTTGTGATCTGCAACAGTGTCTCCTATGCTTGATAATACAAGTTTCCCTGATCGAAGTCAAAGGAAATATTTTTAATATTCCCTTAGATCTAGATCTGCCGAGAAGCTGAGAAGCACTTGTGTTTCGTAGGCGGAACCCGAGAAACCGAGAAACACTTATTGTGTTTTGGTAGGTGGTGAGAATCTGAGAAACATTTATGTTTTGAAGTGCACGGGCCGGTGCCAAGAAGCCGAAAAAACGCGTGCAATACACGTTTCGTAGGTGGTGAGAATCCGAAAAAGCATATTTCATAGGTTGACAAAGCCTAAGAAGTATGTTTTGTAGGTGTATGGCTGAAGGGACTTGATTATCAAGCGAATTCTTTTTGACCATTGTTGTGGGCAAAGTTTGTTATACTTACTCTTCATCTGTAAAGGTCAGTATGTGTGAAAATTTATTTTATAGACCATAAGTGCTTTATTAATTTTCATTATGCTTTTAATTGCAAATCGAGGATGCAAATCACAAACAAGCAATCAACTATGGTAATTTCTTCAGTTTTGGATTTGGGCGAACTTTTATAACTGTCTCCGCAATTACACTGGTCATCACAAAATTCTTAATTGGAATCCTGAACTGAGGATGTTTGATGTAAGTTTTGTCATTGCGCATAGTCGAGGTGGAGATCTTGAAACAAATACCCTCTTCCATTAAATTTATTAAAACATGCAATTCTAGTATTTCTATATAGTTACGGCTATTCATTTTTTCCATCTACTTTTATTAGTGGACCTAGCCCTTTTCCCGAAAAACGCCCCCATACCATTATGCCTCCGCCACCATGTTTCACTGTTGGGACAACATTTTCAATATTGTAGCTGGTGCCGCACATAATTTTGAGTTGAATTTTGGACATCAAGTATGTGATCATTTCTATAACTTTGGATACAAAAAAAAAAAAGATTTTTAATCCGAGAAACCTTGGTTATGATGAGAAAATGCAGTATTTTTCTAAACAGGACGTGGTTATGCCACCAGCATTACTTGGAGAAGATTCTCGTTATTTATATATTTTTGAAATTAATTTGACGAGCAACGATGTGTTGCAACTATACGGATTTGGAATTTGATGGCGGGGGCAGAAAGGTTTTACAGGGCAGAAAAATAAACTCAATCATATACCCCAATTACTGTTACTTGGTTTGAAGTTTAGATTTTGAGTTGAGGAAAATAAATGAAGAAAACCATTGTAAATAATAAAACACGGGACTATATATCCCATTTTTCCAGGTTCTGTTCTCTTGGCTATTTATCTCTATCTCAAGTATTAGTATATAAATTGCACGTGTATTTTTGATTTTTAAAACATAGTGGACTTGTAAAAGAAATCTTTTAAATTTTTCCCGATAAATTTTTTTTAATAAAACAAAATATTCTCAATAATTCTTTTAGCAATAAAAATTAAATTATTATTATTATAATGTGCCTTACAATATCAATCTATCAAGGTTGCATCTTTTTTAAAGAATTCATATAATGTTTTTCCGTTATCTTTACCTATCAAGACTTGCAGTTCTACTAAACTCATCTGACTCAATTCTTTTAAATTATGAACCTTTGCCATTACTGTTTTATAATTCCGAGTAGTTATGCCCGGTAAAGCCCTCAAAAAATCCTTTTTACAGGAGAAAATTTTGAACATATGAATGAATAAATGGAATTTTTAAAACAATTTGAAAAATAATTCGAGTATAACTTTACTTGAGGAGATATATTATAAATAGAATTAATTTCTTCGTTATCATCTAAACCAATTGATTGAGCCTTTTCTTGATCTGGTTCATCCTCTAATTGCTTTAATATATAAATAATAATATTAGTATTTTTGTAATAATAGAAAAAACAGTCAATAATTATTAGCTACCTTTAAATCTTCAAATATATCAACAGTTGCATATGGACTACTTGACCAAATGATTTTTAATTGAGGGAATGTTAATGTTAGTAAAGCCAATTTTGAAGAAATGTCATTCATACCAATTTCTGTTCTTAAATCGCTTAAGGCCTAATAAACAAATTGGTAATATATATAATAATAAGAAAGCACTAATCATCTTCGCACATTAAATAATACGTGGTGATTTGCTTACTTGTAATGAAAAGGATTTGTTTTCTTCAAATTCAATCAACAATATTGGTTTTTTATAATACATCACCATAGCTTCACATTGTGTATACCTTATATATATATATACATAAGCAATTACATTAATACATCTAATATTAAAATAAAACTTATATTGTGCAAAAAAAAAATTTTTGTTGTGCTTACAATCTTCCAGAAATAAAAGAACTAAATAAATCTGAAATAGATTTTCTTTCAACACAGATATTCGGTGATAAAATATAATCACCAATTTGTAATGTGCATGGCAATACTTCTATGCCACGTGCATTAAGCAGTGATGGTAATGAACAACGAAATTCTCGAACATCTATTATAACCTTTAATAAGATATTTAATCACTATTAATATATTTGTGAGATCATTAATCATAATTATTATTATTACCTTTTTTTGCTTTACTACCAAGCTATTATTATCAATGTTACCACCACCAGCTATACGAGTATTTACAGAATTCAACGATAGTAAATCATTAATATTTCGTGAAGTCGGTATTGATCGTCCCAATGGTATTACCATCATCTATACAATTAAAGATTTTAATATGACCTAATTTTTAATTAAAAAAAAAAATCAATTTTATAATAAATAATATATTTACCGATTTTTCACGAATAAGTTTTTCAAAAGCTTCCTTTTCTCTTCTTATGGAACTTAAATATCTTTGTTCTTCAACAGAATTTTCATAAATCATAAAGTACACCTTACAACTAAGCTCCGGATTTCTTGCTTTAAAAACCTATTTGCCAAACAAAGAATTAGAGTCCCCACTACTCCCAAAAATACATACATGCATTAATTGATTGAATGAATACCTCTAAACGTCTAATAAATCCTTGGTCTGGATGATACATTATAACATATCTAGGTTTAATTGCTTGTAGCATTTTATCATCATCATCACCTAAAATTGGTCTGATAAGAATTAATGATTCTAGTGGCACTAATCCAAAATATTTTGAAAAGGCTTTAGCATCAAACTCATCATCAACATCAATATAAGAAGTCATTAACACATCATTATTATGATTTGAGAATGTCTCTTCTTCCTCGACATTGTCGTTATTGTTGTTGTTGTCATCATCACTGTCTTTGATATTTGACGAAGAAGCATTTGTTCCTGAAGGCATATTAGAATTGATACTATTTATTATATATATATAAATTTATAAATATAAAGCATAATATAATTCAATTCAATCAAGTGAATGTGTAAAATTGAACATTAATTGATACATACAAGTGTGCAATTTCTCTTGCTTCTTCCTCGATAATATCTGCACTATTATTTCTTATAAAATTACTTGATGATGTGCCGCCACTAGCACCACCACGAATACGACGTCTCTTATTATATGGTTGTAGACCTCGTTGATAACGTTTTTGGGGATCGGCTTTTATAATATTAATATTATCAAAAAAAAATAGAAAAAATATTAATTGAAACAGTTATTATAATCATTATTCATAATTTATTACTGATATTACCATTGCTTGATGATGATGATGATGATGATGATGATGATTTTTGGATTGGTTGAAATAAACTTTTCCTCATTTTGCTAATTTCAGTTTTCCATCTAAAATAATTCTTTAATAATCTTCTCAATAATGGACCACCTCTTCCCTGATTATTTTTTAAACCTATTTTCATTGTTGATAAATACTCTTTTAATTGAGAACCCTCACGTCCATTCTCCACCATTATTAGAATAGTATCATTATTGGAACCTAATATTGATATCAATAATAATGTTATCATTATTATTATTACTATTATTATTAAATTCTTTTTTTTTTCTTTAAAGAAAAAATTTAAATTACTATTTTGATTAGATGTTTCTATTTCAACTTCAATCTCATTCAATATACCAGCCAATAAATTCCATTTTGGTAATTCTTCTAGTACAGGTTCAATTCCCGGTGGAAACTCTGGATTCTCCAATAATCTAATTTGTTCTAATAATTCTTTTGTCGTTGTTGTTGTTGACTCCTCTGTTGATTCCTCTGTTATTTCTATTACAGAATTGGTTTTTTCTGAAATTTTTGAAGTTGGCTTATTACGAATAAATACACGTTTTTTTGCCATCTAAACGCAAAAAAGATAAATTATTTGGATAATGTTGATAACACAGATCAATAAAAATATATTACTTACAGAAAATATTGTTTCGCCGGCATCCAAGAATATCCAAGGAGATTGTTGTTCAGTATCCAATGAGGAAGTTGGTGCTTGACTTGCTAAGATTGTTTCAAGGAATATATTGAAACTCACGCAATCATAACTTACAAGATAACTTTAAAAAACACAAAATGGTTTATTACTAAAAAGGAAATCACTAACTGAATATGCAGACCAATATAAACTTACGTTAATAGTTTTCTTAAAGTTTTAAGATCATTAACTAATTGTTTAGTTTTCATGCTAACTCTATGCCAAACTGGATCAAGTTGTTGTCTTATTATTATGTCAAATGACTTAAATAATGCATTCTCGATTGTAAATTCTTCAAAATCAATCTATCGTAAAATGAGCAGGCAAACAAATTAATCAATAAACTCATTAATTAATACATATATAGATATTTATTAATGGATGATGAATGGATGAAAGGAGAAAGAAGTCTTACTGAAGAAGTGGATTTCCTAACTTCGGAAATGCAAGCTCCAATACATTCTAGAATTGCAGATTGAATATCAAACATTGATTCTGATAGTGATTGTTGTAATTCTATCACCTGAAAATTTTTTTCTTCAAGACATTCCCTTACCAAAACATGAAATCTAAACACGCATACATATGTTAATATGATGATGATGATGCTTTAAAGATTAAAATTAAATTTTGAATCTTTTATTACCTTGGCCATAAAAATGCTTTTCTTAATTGAAGTAACTGTAATGTTGTTTGAAGTGGTGAAAATCCTGAAACAAATGTCTCTGGTGAATCTGAAAATGCCTTGATAAATCCTTCCTTAATAGTAGTAATAAGAATGATGAATATGACAATGTTGACAATGTTGGAATTAATAAAAACATATTAATTAGAAGTAATTTAATTTTTTTCAAATTTTAAAATTATGAAACACACTTTATTTTCTTGCCTAAATATTCTTAGTATAAATGCTTCAGTAGATGTTACATTTATTCTTTTTTGTTTATAAAAAATTTTTTTTTAATTACTGAAAAAAAAGTTTTATTACTCAATTAATAATAACAATTGTAATACCTTTCAGCATGGTTAACAAATATTCCGGTTATTAAATGAGTTGGGATTTTCTTAGTCAAAAGATCAACTATAAGAATTCTTGAAGTGATTGACAATATTCCACCATTAATATATAATTCATTTCTAATATTTTTATTAAATAATTAATATGACTTTATTATTTTATTTCATAATATTATTAGTAATAATACTTTTATTAACAAAGTTCACACTAAAACCTTTCTTTAGCGCTCATTTCATTATTGACAATTCTGAGCCCAGGTTTACTAATGCCAATTTGTGCTAATTCTTCTTTAATGCTCAATTCTTCTTTTGAAGGTGTATTTAACAGAATTACCAAATTCTTTCTTTGCGAGTAAATTTTCAGTAAGGAACATATTATTATTCTTAATCCCAAACCACGGCTAATCACTAATAATCCATCTTCTTCGACTATTTCAGTTAAAATTTGTTTTTGGTATTCTAAAAGTAAATCAGTTTGTTCAATGTTCATATTTTTAAAAATATATATTTTTTAGAAAAATATTATTTATTGTGATTTACAAAAAATGTTTTCTCGATTAGGTAGGTAGATAGGTGATCATTTCAATTGACGCGTTGATATTGTTGCTATCTTTTCCAGTATTAATTAATAAAAAACAATAAGTGTAAAAAAATGTTTAATCGAACAAGAAGTTAGAATACATCTCATCAACTGTATTTCAAATACAAGAAACACTCTTTTAAAATTAATTCATCAAACAACAAAAGAAACAATCAAAGAAACAAAATCAAATGAAATAATATCAACACTGGAAAAAATAAATCAAATATTCAATCAGCCCAACAACCACAATTATCCAATTGGGAACTTTCAACTGCTCTACCAATTATACGACCAAATTTTCATAATCATCAAATGTATGGCCAAGTATTGATTTTATATATAACATTATAGTGATGTCACCAAAAAATGATTGCCCTTTGTCATATCATCATGATAAAAAAGAATTGAGTGAATAATCACCATGATGAATACCAATGTTACTCTACATATTGAATTGCTATATAAAATGCCATGTATAACACAATTAATAAAATCATTAAAACCCTGGGTTCTCGAAAAATGTACTTTGAGCATACAGTGTGGGACAAAAAAAACTGGATTTAGAAAATTGTTCATCACAATGTAACTAGTGGACAAAATCACATGAAATTTTTATTATTGGAAGTTGAAAACCAACTGATTTTATTAGTATATTTTTAGTATGATATGCGTTCATCATTTTTTTCAATTACAAGTTCACAACGCCGTCTCATTGATCCTACTAAGTTAATTAGAGTAGATTCAGGAATATTTCTCCACTCTACCATAAATCGCTCCAATTCATCCTGATTTTTTGGCATATGCCTCTCTACATTTCCCTTAACAATACTCCAAAGATTTTCAATTTAGGTTCAAGTCAGGACTGTTGGATGGCCTCAGGCATATCCTCCTGAAGAAAGGCTTTGGCAAGGCAGCTTGTATGTTTTGGGTCATTGTCCTGTTGGAATCGCCATCTATTTCCTAGCATCTGCTTAATCTCTGGAGTATGTCTGCGAAGAATATCTACATAAAATTTAGCATCCATAATTTCCTTAAAGCAAAATAAATTTGTCTTTCCCTTTGCACAAAATCCACCCCATGCAAAAATCTTTGTTCGGTCTTTGAGCATAGGACAAATTAGCCGCTCACCTTTATACCATCGCTCTACTGTATTTCGGAAGAGTTGGAAGGCAGTCTCATCTGAAAACAATGTCTTCTTCCTAAGGCTCCGAACAGATCAGATCAGATCAGTTCAGATCTTATTAAATTGCAATCTGTTTTAAACCAGATCAGATCAGATCCTGTTAAATTTGCAATCTGTTTAAACCAGATCAGATCAGATCAGAACCAGATCAGATTAGATCAGATCAGATCCTATTAAAATGCAATCTGTTTTGAACCAGACCAGATCAGATCAAAACCAGATCAGATCAGATCAAAACTCAGATCAAAACTAGACCAGATTGATTTATAGATAATTAATATAAAATTTTATTTATTCAAAATTTTTTTACATATATTCATAATTGATTCTTTAATACCCCCTTCCACCAATATCTAAGACACATACAAGCTCTAATTGTGCTTGCAGATAAACTACACCTGGTTGCTGTCACTAGATCAGTTCCTCCTGAAAAAATTCTCTCAACTGGCACGCTTGTTGCTGGGATGGCAAGATAATCTCTTGCCATCAATGCCAAATGTGGATACTCTGACTCATGATTCTGGAGAATAACAAATAACAAAACATGTGAATTTAATTATCTATATTTATATACAATAATTTAAATAAAAATTTACTTACTTTCCACCAAGTCAATACATCAGTTTTTGGTGGTGCATTTGGTGATTTAAGATATGATCCAATTCATCATCATCTCTGACAATTTGTTGACGTTTGTAAATATGAGAAGTAAGATCATCTTCTTCTTCAATATCATTATTTTCAGAATTGCTAAATACAGTCAAATTTGGTGCATATCCAGATTGGTATATATCTTTGATAACTTGATGTGCATTGTTTATAAAATTTGCTTCCCAATTGTTATCTCTATAATAATCTAACTTGAGCCTTGGATCAAGGACTAATAAAAATATCAATTTAGTATAAATTATTGTAGTTTATATTGAACTAAAACCATTATGCTTACTTGTAGCAATAGTATAAACAGAAGCATCAGTCCTAATATAATAAAACTTAAGTTTTTCAATCACTTCTTTAACTTTTCCTTTAATATCACTTGTACCATTTAAATTGTGTTCATAATCTTCAAGATTATCAATTAGCCAATTAAATATAGGAACTGTTGAAGTAAGAGTTGGATAATGATTTGTAGAAATATGTTTAGTTGCACGTGAAAAAAGCTAAATAGCAAAACATATATTAAATTAATAATAAGTTAATATAAAAAAAATTGATGTAATAGTATTGCATCAAAAAAATAATAATTAACTTACATGTAATAATTGAGAAATTTCAACAAGCTTTGACCATTCTTCTTCATTTAACACCCATTTAATCATGTCTCTATCTGCTCTTCCCACACTTTCTACAGCTTATAAACAATAGAAAACATGTTTATATCATTACTCATTTAATAAATTAAAATTAATCATATAAATTGCATTTAAATGCTTATCTCTTTATATTCAATAGCACACATAATCATTTCATATGTAGAATTCCAACGTGTGACTATGTCTAAAATCAATTCTTTATATTTTAAATTGGCTAATTCACAAGCCTTTGAAAACCTTTCCCGTCGTTGCGGAGATGATTTAATTTTTACAATTAATTTACGTAGCTAGAGAATTAAAAAATCATTACGTTAAATATAATAAGTACACCAAGTGCACAATTTACTGAAATAAAAATGGTTTTAAGATTTACCTTCATTATAGTATGGAAACCATTCACGTCATTATCATCAATATTTAAAACTTCATCCTCGTTATTAGCAGCTGTTGCTTTTAGTGATTTAAGTGCATGTTGAACAGCAATATTCATGACATGAGCAAGACAATGCACATGATTATTATCAATATCAAAATTAATACCCTCATTATAACAAATATCAGCTAAAGAACTAACAAATGTATTGTTATTCATAGCGTTGTCTGTTGTAACAGCTAAGAGCTATATTTGGAAATAATATATTAATCAATTAAATTTAATTGAATTAAATATGCTTATTTTTAAAATAATTACCTTTGCAAATATTCCAAGGTCTCTCTACATGAAGCCACAAATGCTTCTCGCAAGTTATCCCCAGAATGGGGACCAGATAGCTTTACAAAATCTATCAATGTTTCTTGGAGTTGCCAATCAATATTTATCCAATGACTTGTTATTCCTAGAAAAGGAATTGTATTTGCAGAAGTCCAGCAATCTAATGTGAAGGAGATATGCCCTGGGATATTCTAACAATAATGACAATATAATAAAAATTAAAATTTTAATATAAATATAAAAATTGATATAAACACAGTATATATTATATGTTTATATACTTGTAATAATTCTTTCAGATTAGAACGTTCTTTATCAAATGATTTAATAATTTCATTCTTTATAGTATCTGCTGATGGTAAAGGAACTCCAGGCCACAACAACCGCAACAGATTTTTTAATTCTTCATTTTCTATTTCAATGAATGGTTGATTACTACATACAATCCAATGTATAAGAAAATTTCGAAAGCTTTCAGCTGAAAAAGGCTGATAAAAAGAAATTAAAAATAAGCAATTATAAAATTAATTTAACAAATTATTATTCAGAATTCTATACTAACTGGTAATTTTTTTGATTGCACAAAATGATTCAGAGTCCCGGTTACTGCAATGTTTTTTTCATTGGTATTAAGCTTAGTTGGATGTTGACTTCTCAAAGGTTTATAAAGATTACCAGTGCTAGAATTACTACGACTTGAAACAGTGTATGAACCTCTGAAAAATATATTATTTCAAATAAATAAGAATATGTTTTTTGAAAACTCAAGTTCATTAAAATATTTACCCAATGCAGTGTTTACACTTTGCTTTATCATTAGCAAAAGTAAAGTGCTCCCAAACTTCACTTCTTCTTTTTTTTCTATTATTATTATCATCAACAGTTACTGTTGTTACATCTTCTGGTAGATCCGAATCATTATTAATAATAACATTTGCCATTATAGTTCATAAAGTAATTGATTCATAAATTCATATAAAAAAATTCTTAATTCATAGAAGTTCTTAATTCATAAAAATTCTTAATTCATAAAATTCTTTAATTTGTAAAAATTGTAAAAATTAATTTTTTTTTTATAAAAATTTTTATTATTATTTATATCATAAAGTCTGGAAAGATAGTGCTCCGTGGCAAACCATAAAATTTACTAAAAAGGCAATGTCACAGAAGTGCTACTTTACGGTAATATCTTGGATCAGATTTCGGATTTCAGATCAGATCAGATCAGATTTCAGATCAGATCAGATTCAATATTTTAAAGAACCAGATCAGATCAGATCAGATCCAGTATTTGAGGAACCAGATCAGATCAGATCAGATCCAGTATTTTAAAGAACCAGATCAGATCAGATCAGATCCATTATTTTAAAAAACCAGATTGGATCAGATCAGCTTAAACAGATTTCAGATCAGATCAGATTTCCACCAAATCCGATCTGATCCGATCTGTTCGGAGCCTTAATGATGATGATGATGATGATGATGATGATGATGATGATGATGATAATGATGATAATGGAGGATCTTGCTCTATAATGGACTGAGAATTAAGCCCAATTTATATGTCCCATATATTGCTAATGGACATTTTTTCATAAACCAAATGGTCCATTATAGAGAGTGAACTATATATTTACTATACTACAATGAAATACACTATTTCCCATCATTACACTCTTCATTTGCTTTACTTGGTTGT